TTTTTTTTCTCAAATGGCCTAACCACAAATTCCCCTTCCCACTATGTTCTTGCAGATAATGTTCCCTAGGCAAACAACCTCTTTATCAAAGGGATCAGGGCAATTTCTGCTTATGCCTGATTAGGAATTTCAGTTCCCTGCCAGCCCAAGAATTATCCAGACAAGCCAATCACATCTTTCCTGGGAACTAAGGAGCACTCCAACCTCCCGATATTACAAAACCTTTCCACATCCCCTGGTTGTCCATTGTGTCTCTGAGTACAGCTGCCATGTGGCCCTCTGTGGCATGTGATATCTTCTTCCCCTGGGCTGTGAGGGGAATATATGTGATTAATAAACTTTTGTCTTATGTGTCCAATGTTGAGTGTCCTATGTTTTACCATCTTCATAACGATTGAATGGGAATCTCTCCCTAACTGATCGGGTGAATAGTAAGTAATTAAAACAATGACTCTCCTCCCTATGCGCCCACCCCCAGCTGCGATAGGGATGAGGAAAGGTTAAAATATCAGTTTAGTAATTGTAATAAATAACTTATGAGTTGCCTTTCAATACCAAGATACTGTTATTTCTGTGTTTCCAGTGCCAGTATTAGCATTCTTTTTTTCTAAATAATAACAGGACGATTTGTTCATCTCTATTATTAGCACCCATTAGATAGTATTGTAAACTATTTGTATATCTCTTTCTGTCAGTTCAAAGCACAAAAAGCCATGGTTTATTAATCTTTGTATACCTTCTGAATAGCATAATGCCTGACACAATATGTAGCAGATATTCAATAAATATTTGTTGAGTGAATCTGAAAATCACTTTCTTTATTGGAATTCGATTAAAAAAAAATAACGAATAAAATTGAAAACAAGAAAATTGTACAGAAGATCAATGAAACAAACAGTTGATTCTTTGAAAAGATAAACAAAATTGATAAACCTCTTGCTAGATTAACCAGGGATAGAAGAGAAAGGACTCAAATAAGTTCAATTAGAAATGAAAAGAAGATGTTATAACTGATACCACAGAAATACAAAATATCATCTGTGAGTATTATGAAAATCTGTATGCACATAAACTCAAAAATGTAGAGGAAATGGACAAATGTCTGGAAACACACAACCTCCCGAGACTCAGTCAGGAAGAAATAGAACTCCTGAACAGACCAATAATGAGCAATAAGATTAAAGCAACAATAAAAAAAAATCTTCCACCAAAAATCAAAGCCCCAGACCAGATACATTCACACCCGAATTTTACAAGAGCAACTAAGAAGAGTTGGTACCCATTCTGCAGAAAGTATTCCATAACATTGAGAAGGAGGGATACCTCCCCCACTCATTCTACAAAGCCAGTATCACCTTGGTACCAAAGCCAGGAAAGGACACCAAAAGAAAAAGAAAACTATAGACTAATATCCCTTATGAATATAGATGCAAAAATCCTCAATAAAATACCAGTAAACCAAATTCAGCTGCACATCAAAAAAATAATCCAACATGACCAAGTAGCCTTCATCCCAGGGATGTAAGGATGGTTCAACATATGTAAATCAATAAATGTAATTCACCACATAAACAGAAGCAAAAACAAAGACCATATGATTATCTCAATAGATGCAGAAGAAGCATTCAAGAAAATTCAGCACTCATAAAAACCTTCAACAAACTAGGCATAGATGGAATATATCTCAAAATTATAAAAACCATATGGGACAAACCCACAGCCAGCATCATACTGAATGGGATAAAGTTGAACATATTCCCACTAAGAACTGGAACAAGACAAGGATGCCCACTGTCACCACTTCTGTTCAAGATAGTGCTGCAAGTCTTGGCCAGAGCAATCAAACAATTAAGCGTTTCCAAATTGGGAAAGAGGAGGTCAAACTATCACTTTTTGTAGACAATAAGATCTTATATCTAGAAAACCCCAAAGATTCCACCAGGAAACTCCTAGACTTGATAAAGAAATTCAACAAAGTCTCAGGTTACAAAATCAAAGTATACAAATCAGTAGCATTCCTATATACCAATAACAGTCAAGCCGAGAGTCAAGTCAGAGACTCAGTATCATTCACAATTGCTACAAAGTTAATAAAATACCTAGGAATATACTTAACCAAGGAGGTAAAAGATCTCTACAAAGAGAACTACAAAGCACTGAGGAGGGAAATCACAGATGATACAAGCAAGTGGAAAATCATATCGTGGTCATGGATCAGTAGAATCAACATTGTTAAATGTCCATACAACCCAAACTGATTGATAGATTCAATGAAATCCCCACCAAAATACCAATGTCATATTCACAGATCTAGAAAAAATAATTCTACACTTTTCTCCATAAAAGAGCCCTAATAGCCAAAGCAATCTTAAGCAAAAGGAACAAATTGGGAGGCATCACATTACGAGATTCAAACTCTACTACAAGGCTATTGTAACCAAAACAGCATGGTGCTGGCACAAAAATAGTGACATAGAGCAATGGAAGAGAACAGAAAACCCAGGTATGAAACCATCCACATACAGCCAACTTATTTTTGACAAAGCAAACAACAATATACACCCGGGGAAAGAATCACCATTCAATAAATGGTACTGGGAAAATTGTATATGCAGAAGAATGAAACATGATCCATATCTCTCACCAGTTACAAAAATTAATTCAAGATGGATAAAGGACTTAAGTGTAAGGTATGAAACTATAAGTAGAAAATGTTGGAAAACTCCTCTAGATATTGGCAGAGTTTTATGAAGAAGACCCCACTGGCAATCACAGCAACAACAAAAATAAATAAATGAGACTCGATTAAATTAAAAAATGTCTGCAGAGCTAAGGAAATAACAGAGCAGATAGACAACCTACAGTATGGGAGAAAATATTCACAAGCTATACCTCAGATAAAGGACTAATAACCAGAATCTACAAAGAACTCAAGCAAATTAGCACGAAAAAATCAAACAACCCCCCCTTAAAAAGTGGGCAATAGACATGAATAGAAGATTCTCAAAAGAAGATAGACAAATGGCCAATAAACAAATGAAAAAATGCTCCACATCTCTAATCATCAGGGAAATGCAAATCAAAACCACAATGAGATATCACCTTACCCCCAGTTAGAATGGCTTTTATTAAAAAGTCCAAAAACAATAGATGCTGATGTGGATGCAGAGGGAAAGGAATGCCTATACACTATTGGTGGGACTTCAAATTAGTACAACTCCTATGGAAAATAGTATGGAGATTCCTCAAAGAACTAAACGTCAACCTACCATTTGATCCAGCAATCCCACCACTGGATATTACTCAAAGGAAAATAAGTCATTTTATCACAGAGACACGGGCACTCAAATGTTTATTGCAGCACAATTGACAATTACAAAGATGTGGAATCGACCCAAATGCCCATCAATTCATGAGTGGATTAACAAAATGTGGTATGTGTATACTATGAAATACTACTCAGCCATTAAGAAAGAATGACTTAATGTCTTTTGCATCAATCTGAATGGAACTGGAGACCATTATCCTAAATGAAATATCTAAAAAATGGAAAAACAAATACCACATGTACTCACTATTAAATTGGAACTAACCCATGAACATAGAGGGAAGTAAAACTCAATGGAAATCAACCAGGGGGAAGGAAGAGATGTGCAAAAACCTACATAATGGATACAATGAACAGTATCTGGGTTACAGGCACATATATAACCATGACTTAAGCATTATAAGCTGTCCATGTAACCAGAAATATTCATACCCCCATAATACTTTGAAATAAAAAAATAACCAATGAGCTGTCAAATTAGCCTTAAAGAGTATAACATATAAGTAAATATCACAGACGTAAATTCCCTAACACTGTTAAAATCCCAACTCACTCCACCCACCCTTAGACAGAAAGAATGAGATCTTGAGAGTGCTGCCCAATTTTTCTCTTCTCATTCCCCTTCCAAAATGCATGCCAGTTGCCCTCAGACTTTTGAAGAACACTGAAGGCAGAATCTCACTTCGTGTAGAAAGGAGAATTAGAATAGCTGCAAGGTGATCCCAACTCCTTGCCTGTCTGTTGATTCTGAGTGCTTCATTCACTTCAAAATCCCTGCTGAAAGCTAAAATGTTGCTTCTGCAAAGAGGCATTTGTTTTAGTCATTGTTTCATTCCTCAAGTGTGTAGCTGCATTGTACCCCTATCCTAAATTATAAAAACATGGAGAAGGTTAACATGGGTGGCTTGAACATATTTCACATATCTTTTTTTCTATGATTTATTTTATTATTATATTTAAATTTACTTACTCATTAAAAGTTATTCTTTTGATAGAATGGCATGTGCTTTTCCCTACCCATCAATTTAAGAATTTCTTTAATGAAAAAATGAAAGACTTGGTCTGACAAAGAAATTTTTCTAATTTATTAATGGATTATATCACTTCACAAAGCTATATAATGTGTTTTTGGCAATAATAAAATTACATTGATACAGTCCTGGTGTTTGAAACCAAAGATGTATAGTTTCCATATCCATGTGTCTTTATATAGTGCTAAACATGTGGTTGGCACTCAGTAAATATATATTGGTTAAATCATCTAATAATAGAATGTGCTCCCTGCCATTGATCATAGACTTTAAGAAAGACTTTAATAGAAGAAAATGTTTTCTCTATTTCCTGTTTTATTCATAGTAAACAGATCCAAGCTATGCTGGGACAGTTCAGCCAGGCAGAAGTCTTATTAATGAAAGCTGGAGTTCAGCCAGGGACTCTTGATGGAGTTCTTTTGGATCTTGGGTGTTCCTCCATGCAACTTGATACTCCTGAAAGAGGTTTTTCCCTTCGGAAGGATGGTCCCTTGGATATGAGGATGGATGGTGGCAGGTGAGTATTGATAAGCATTTCTCCTCACAACAAGAAATCAATTTCTCAAAAACACTTTGAATTTAATTTCCTTTGAAGACTGCAGAATTCCCATCACACACCCACACATAACACTACCCATACATAATAAATCAGTTTGTTTGCTACTCATTATAGACTTTAGTATTTCTCTGGATTTGGGATTTTAAAAGAAAAATAAATACCGTCTTTACACAAAATAGTGAGGAGGATGACCTTCATACTGATTATCTTTTACACTGATACAGCATGGGCTTTTAGATTGCAACAATATTGATAAATACCATGATACTGAAACAATGGTTCCATTTTTATGCACATTCCATATGTGGATGCCTCTGTAAGGCACAAAAGGAGCTAGATATGTTTAATGCATATTCTTTTAGAATACAGGAAAAAAGGCAAGCTCCTAGAGGTCAGCAGTTGTGTATTTCGTCCTGTCTCTTGCACAGTCACATTGGTTGAACCTTCTCCAGAGAAACTGCAATTATGGTACTATATCAAACACAGTATTATGCATAGGATATCTTTTACACCTCCTCTTCATTTCTCACCACCCTGGATATACTGACACTTATTCTCCATTATTCATATAGGTACGTATATATTAAATAACACAAAGAAGATCACATTCTAGGAGAGTATAGGAATAATTCCCTTTTATCTAAATTAATTTTGAAAGCTCAGATTTGTACTTGTATCTATGCTAAACACTGGCCCAGAACTGAACAGCCTGTACCTACAAAGCTTAATCATGCTTTTCTTTCTCATATCATACCCTACCACAAACTACTTTGTCCTATGGTAATTAGTCACATATAGCCTTTTCCCCATGTTGTGATATGACCCGTTAACTTGGATTGTGGCCTATATTTGTTAGAACCCTATTGTTTCTGAGACTTATAACTTCTTTTCTCATGGTATTGGCATTCGTAGAATGAAGGATATGATCATAAAAGTCCTTTAAAACCAGTGACTATAAAAAAAATTAAAAAAAAAACAGCGACTAATAGTAAAAATCAAATATATTCTCATGCTTGGAGATTGAGTTGGTTGTGCAGAGGTAATAAAATACCAAGCAATTTTTTGGTGTTCTTATGTCTTGCTAAGGAACATGCCTTCTGAAATACAGTAAACAAATCTTCTAGTTAATAGCCATAAATCCCCATATTGTTACATAAAGACTTATCGGCAAATTATAGTCTGTGAATCAGGGTCCCTGAGGTTCTCCCTCGGGAACTTGAAAATAAGATTGCCCCTGAGAAATTCTTAAGTCAATACATAATGGATGAGATTAGAGTTGAACAAATATATCTTAAAAAGCTTAATGGCTTTCAGGTAGATAGCATAGACTATAACATAATCAAAGATATTAACAGATCTGAAGACAGTATGTGACATTTGGAAAGGAGGAGTTGATTCACATGAATTCATAAAAAAAGGAATGTCAGAGATACAAATACCTGCAATGCTAATCCACGTAGTGTTATGGCGAGAGGGAATCTGGGCCAAAAAATATGGCCTATATGTTCCTGATGTATCCCCGTGACAAAGATGGATGCAGGAGGCTTTCTTAGCCTGTTGCCATTTAACACTGGAGTCTTAAAACATAATTTATTCTGTGCTGATCTCAGTTTCAACAACAGCTTTCAGATTATAATAAGGCTTCTCATGTAGCAGAAAGAAATTCACAGCTTCAAGAATTTGAGAATCTAGTTCTATTGGCAGTTATATTCTTCACTAGAAGGTAATAAATCGTCACTTATATTAATAATTTCTTTCTCTTATGAGTTTAGTCACTGTTAGTGAAGTCTGGAGGACTGATGAGATCAAATCTGTTAACCTAAGTTGGGGGACAGATCTTAAATCTTGACTTCTTCTTCATACGAAGGCCTATTCCAAAGCTTCTTACCAGCCCGCCAACCTTCCACAGTGATGCCCGTTTTATTAATATTTTTTAGCACTATGGAAATTTCTGCACTACAGTTCAATGTTAATAGAAGAGAAAAAGTTATGCCTGTTGTCCACGGATCGCCACTTGAACAAAATGCTGTTTGAATTTTCTTATTTCAAAATAGAGAAGTATCATGCAAAACTGCTAAGTACATCCAATACTAACCTTAAAATTGTCTTGATAAAGCTGGACTATGGACTATATCCTACAGATTCTAAATTTAACATCATTACCAAGGTTCATTCTAATGCTTAGTGGTTTGGGCAATTGAATTCACAAGTAGGTAAAGTCTAGCAGGGATTTTGTCATTTAAGCCAAGAATGATGACAGGCAAATGTATGAATGGGGAAGATCTAAAGGATGTTGGGATTCATTGAGCATCTTCTATATGTTAGGTGTTATACTACCTATTTTACAATTGTATGCACCCTTACTTCTCCCAGCCATTCTGTGAGGTAAGCGTTGTCACTTTCATTTTACAGGTTAAAAATTGATGCTCCAATATATTAAAAAGCTTACCTGATATGAGTAGCAAGATTATGATTCTAATCTAGATTGATCTGACTCTAAAGACCAGATATTCATCCTGAAAGCTGAACAAGCAAACCCTATTGAAATGGAAACAAGACTATCATAAAAAGTTCATTGGTCTGGGGTTCAATGGCAGCCAGACATAAAAACAATAATCGTAGGATGTGGAAAGCAAAGTTTGACCAAAAAAAGAGACAGACAGAATAAAAAAGAGAGGTGAAGGACATGGCAAAACAAACCAAGGACAGCAACAAGATTTTCTCCTGGAGGCACTAGGCATGTGAACAAGGTGTAGTGTAGTATTTTCAAGAGGGATTCAGGTGTTTCTTGGCAATCCCACTCTGGTCTTAAAGCTACTGTATCGTTGTTACAAGACCTCACAGTATGGTACCAATAATCGATCCAATATATTGACTGTAAGAGTAGTAACTATATTCTTAGCAAAGTTATCTTTCTGATAAGTAAGGTGATAGTTAGCTCATCACTTAGAATTCTTTGGCCCATTTCCCTAAAGTAAACTATAATGGTCTGACAAAGTAAGTGCTGTTTTCTGCTACTGTAATTTATTCTGTTTGTCCAGAGGTTGGCATTTCTTTTTCTCCTCCACCTGAAATTACTGTCTATCTAGGCTTGTGCAATACTGTTAGTTGATTACCAGGTTTTCCGCCATGGTGACCTTTGTCATGGGCGGATGAGCCAATATTGTTAAACATTTTAAATAATATACACTATTGCCATTAAGGTTGTTCTAGTTTTTGTGAGGGAAACTGACCAGCAGTATCTTTTTGTATGGACTTTCTAAGTTCAATTTGTGTCTCCACAAATAGTCACTTTTCAGCCTCAGGATAAATTCCTGAGATATAGGTTCATCCATGTATCAGCAAGCTCTGTATCTTCTAGCTCAAAAAAAATTCAAGTAGTAACTTAAATTTTGAAAAACTTAAACCTAAACATTTTCCAATATTTTAGTTTGAGGAAAATCTGCAGGAAGAATAAAAAATTTATTGTGAATTAAAGTTAAAGGTTAGTATAATATTTTAACTTCTGCTGCCTTGACCTCGATGAATGTTATAAACAGTCCCCACTTGTCATAATGATGGGTATTTGAAATGGAAAATCTATTTCATACGTGTAAGATTTCAGTCTCTGACTTTGAAACCTCAGAAGCTCTCCTAAACTATATGTGAATGACTGACTTTATGTCTCAGTACTCTGAAGTTTCACCTCTTGTCAATGAAAACTGACGTCAGTGAACTAATTGGCTCTTCTTCTGCGTAGGTACCCTGACATGCCCACCGCTGCTGATGTTGTGAATGCTTTAGATCAACAGGCACTTGCATCCATCCTAAGAACATACGGGGAGGAGAAGCATGCCAAGAAAATAGCTTCAGCAATCGTTCAGGCACGCACTATCTACCCCATCACCAGAACCCAGCAGCTTGCCAGCATCGTCGCAGGTACCCTCATTAATTCTGAATAGTATCTGAGAGAGAAAAAAGTGTGTGTGTGTGTGTGTGTGTGTGTGTGTGTGTGTGTGTGTGTGTGTGTGTGTATATATCTCCCCAAAATCCCTGAGGAATTCATTTGTACTTGAAATCATACAGAATAGAATCTTGCCTTTCTCTAATGAAAACTTTCTTTTAGTTTCAAGCTTCCCCACCCCAACACCTCTCCCCCACACACAATTTTTGTAAAATATACTATAGTTTGCCAATTAGTATAATAATAGATTTTTTTTTTTTTAACATAAAGTATCTGTCATTTGCGCCTACCAGAGCGAACCGTGGAAGAAGAAGAGCAAAAGAATTTCTTATTCCATCATAGTGGTTGATAAGCACCCCATATAAGATCTGACCTTACCTCTCTTAGTTTCACATTTCTGCATTTTAATATTTCGGGCAAAAGGAGAATTGCATTGCCCAACTGCTAAAATAAAATCCAGTGACTCATACATCTATTCTAAACAACCAGCTAACAAAGGGTATGTGATGTATAGGTTATTCCACTTTGTGAATGCTAACTAAATCAGCCTGAGGGGCTTATTGAAACATTTCATCTTTTCTGCTGTTTGCCACCATAAACCTCTTGAACCTAAGTCTAGCTAGGAGGTGCTTTATTATAGCCTTTTTGTTTGAAGCCAAAGTTGTTTCACAGCTGTGTTCCATGATGAAAGTTTTCCAAGGCAAAAATACAACTCTTATAGCTATTTCCAATGGTAAATTTTTTGTCTTGTTGAAACATCTGAAACCCTTTATCATTTTTATTTACCAAATGTATAATTTCTTTTCAGTAGTTCCTATTAAGTTACTCAAGTAAAGAAGTTAAGAAAGGAGTATTTGTATAGCTTATAAAAAGAACCTGATATTGCCTGCCTCTATCTTAATATTATCCATAGTTTAAGAGATAAGAATTATAAATTTATTCAGATCATTAAGATTTAGAGATCATATAGCAATTATTTTATGACATAATTAAAGAAGACTATATTCCATTTAGCTATGATAATAAAATATTAAGAGTTGACTAAATCTCTTTAATTTTTTTAAGCTGCATACCTCAGGCCCTTCAGATTTACCATTGAGATTCTTTTAGGCAAGTAAGAACAGAATTCTTGTGGGCCATGTGAACATAAAATATTTCATGGTATTTTTTTTTCCCAAAAGGAGTTTATATTAGCATGATGACATTAATTTCACCCTGTCTTGCATTCCTTTTTTTTCTTCCCACTCTATACTCGCTAACATGTCTCCATCTTATCCTTTCTGTCATCCTTTAACTATGTGTGTTGTTTTCTGTCTCACATATTGGAAAGAAAAGCAGTGAGAAGTCATATTTTTTTATTCGTAAGAAAATTCAAAATTTTCTGGTGCTGAAAATGAGAGATTTGGGCTAGAGAACATCCTAGAGATTGTCCAGTCAAGAAACCTCATACATTTACTGAAGAAATTGAGGCTCAATAGTTATTCAAGATTGTAGCCTAATTATTGACAGAGTTAGTACTATACTTGATCTTAGCCAAAAGGCTGATAAGCAATACAAAATTGGTACTAATCTAGTATTTGGAAACTCATGAATTTGAGGCATAATTGGGTTCTGCCTTCAAGTTAATTTTTTGTCTGTGGATCCTGATCTGTAAACTTGGAGAAATAACACTTTAGCATTAGATAGAAATTATATGAAAATGTACAAAAGGAACAATTTAAGTACTTTCAGAAAGAATGGGATATGAAAAGCACATTAGGCCTATGACAAATGATTCAATAAAGGTGAGAATATCCGTGTATGGGTAAGTAAACTCCATTTTAGTAAATGCCATTAAGCTCTCTATAATGAGTTCACTTTTATATGTTAAATATCAGCCCATAATCATCCAACTTTATTGACGATATGATTTTTTTGGAAAAGGGAAAAACAGAAAAAATATGTTTTCATTTTGTGTTCATTTATTCAAAAAATATTTTGGTAGAGGCTACTATATACTAGTCACTATCCTAAGTACTAAAGGTAGAATGGGAGCAAATCAAATATAGCCTCTGTGTTTACAAAGTTTACAGACTAGTAGATTATATAGTCAGGTAACTAAATAAAAATACAGTGTAATAAATTTCTACTTGTAGTGAAGACCCTCTTTTTTATTTATTGTAATCTGGAGTTATGGTTGTACAATCAATAGAAAATTTGATAAGAGCAGAGAATTATAGAACCTACATACCCACACCTAATTTGATTGCATTTTTAAAGTGATTCACCTTTATCAAGAGTTTCCAAAGTCTCCAACTTAGTTTTCATGGAAACAGCAGCCATCTTTCCTTTTGCATTCATATTTCATCAGTTTATGTAATATTTGATGAAATTATGTAATGACAGTAGTAGGCACTTTGGGCTGTAAGCACACAGCTCTTTTGATGGAAACAGGACTGTATAGGAACACTAGAAAGTAGAACGCTACCCTCTGACAATTTGTTTAACAGAGAAAAGTGTTAATCTGTCAAGTCCATTTAATGCATGTCTATTAAGAGAGGTTATTTCATGAAGGAAATATGGGAAGCAAAGGGAAGGGCACAAGAGGATCCCTGTGTTAGTTTCCTAGGTCTGCTATTACAGAGTATTATAAACTTAGTGGCTTAAAACAACAGAAATTTATTCCTTTATAGTTTTAGAGACTTGGTGTCTGAAATCAGATGTCAGCAGGGCTCTCAGGGGGAATCCTTCCTTGACTATTTCCTAGCATTTGATGGTTGCCAGCAATCCTTGGTGTTCCTAGGCTTGTAGATGTATCACTGTCTCTACCTCCATAGTCAGTTGGCATTCTCTCTGTGCATCTGTTTTTGTGTCCCAATTTCTCTGTTTTTATAAGGACACCAGTCATATTGGATTTAGGGCCCACCTTAATCTAGTATGTCCTCATCTGAACTTGATTACATCTGCAAAGACCCTATTTCCAAATCAGTTCATATTCACAGATTCTAGGTAGACATGAAGTGTGGGGGACACTATTCAACCCAGTGCAATTCCTAAGCAATATCTTTATTTAACAAACATGTATTTTGGCAAGCTATAATATGCAATAGACTATATTTAAATGTCTTTTCTGATTTTAATAATTCATACCAAATATGTTCAAAGCTATCAAGCATTGTAGGAAATGTACAGCACAGTTCCTGACACCTATTAAAACCTATATATTAATGGAAATATAGCTTTCTTGACTTTCCCAAAGCTAATAATCCAGTAGCACAAGGAAGACCACCATACATGAAATCACAGTATACTCAGTAGCATTCTATAAATCAGATGATTAAGCTGTAATTTATAAAATCTAAATCCTGATGTCTTTTGCTAGTATGGATAATTATAGTTCTAGTACTTTTCTATTATCATGGGTGCTCCAAAAGACAGGTTTGGGGCTCCAAGTTGGAAAAGAGCACTTACAACCACTGTGCATTACTTTGTAAATTATCAAAGCAGTAATTTATAAGCAGTTTACAGGAGAATTCCAAGAACAACCTGTAGGATTTCACTGTTCATACTACCACCACATATATTCATACACACACTATTCAGAACTACCAGCCAGGAATTTTAATATAAATATTTAACACATATGAAGTGTTATACACAGTGTTCCCTCCAAAAATGATTTATAAATAACAAATCACATTTGTTAAGCATCATTTTTATTCTAGTACTGTTATAGCTGAAGAGTTGGAAATGGCTTGAAGGACTCATTTAATCCAGAACTAGATTTTTCATTAACTGTAATAAATGGTCATCTAGCTTCAGCCTTTTTATATTCATCTTTTTTACTCCCCATTGTATTCCAGTGAAGGGGAGCACATTTCAGCCTGTAATTGCCAGTTCTATAAATACAGGCCTAGAGGCTTTAGAAAGAATGGATTTCTTAGACTAAAGTACATACTCTTTCACATGGTTTGCAAATCCCTTCATGAATTATGTCCTACCTGCCTTTTCCTCTTCATCTTTTTCCTTCCCCATAAATAATCTCTGTTCCTGCCATATTGAAGTTCTTGCAGTCTTTCCAGCGTACCATAATCACTCACCTGCAGGCCCTGGACATACTTCTGCCTAGAATATTGACCTTCCTGTTTCTTTTCTGATATCCCTGCCCTACCCCTAACCTTTCCTCTGGCTAATTCCAGCTCATCCTTTAGAGCTTAGTTGAAATGTCAGTTACTCTACTAAGTTTTTTTCCAGCCCTACTCAGATTAGTTGAGATGCTTTCCTGTATCCTCCCATAGCACTGCATTACTCTGTGATGGCACTTATTATGCTGTATCTTATTGCTTGCTTGCCATTTAAACTTTCCCCAAACCTGTATTATTCAACACAGTTGCCAATAGCCACTTATGGCTATAGAGCACTTGAAATGTGGCTACTCCAAATTGAGAGGTGCCATAAATGTAAAATACACACCAGATTTTGAAGACTTAGTTTGAAAAAAGAATTTATAATATCTCATTAATAATTTTTATCTTCATATGCTAAAATGATAATATTTTATATATATTGGGTTAAATACAGTATTAAAATTAATTTTACCTATTTCTTTTTACTTTTTAAGTGTGGCTGTAGACAACTTTAAATAACATGTGGCTTCCCCACTACTCAGGAGGCTGAGGCAGGAGGATTGCTTGAGCCCAGGAGTTTGAGGTTGCTGTCGGCCAGGCCGACGCCACGGCACTCTAGCCCGGGCAACACAGCGAGACTCTGTGTCAAAAAAAAAGAAAAGTGTGTATTACAGTACATTTTTATTGGATAGCATTGCTCTAGACTATAAGCAATGTGAGGGCACTACCATGACTTTCATACTTATCATTGTGTCCCACTGCGTAGCATAATGTTTGACCCTTGGAAGGTATTTGGTAAATATTTTTTCAATGTTAATGTAAACAGTTAACAAAATGGACATTATATCAAGAAGTTTCTACTTTTATAA